GAGAATCAGTATACCAAGAGATAATACTGCAGAACAGGTGTTAAATGACTCAACAGGAAATGCTTCATTTCTGAGAAACCTCTTCACATCTTAGATGCCCCCCTTTGTAGTGTTTTTTTCTTGCTCTTCCATGTCGGTATGTAAAATGCTTCAACAACTATCAACCGCTGATGTTTATCACCATTGGAGTAATTTATAATGTACAAAACTATTGTACCTATCTAAAGGTACAAGGTGCATAAAATTGAGCTTTGTGCTATTTTAAGGTGGATGTGGCACACAAATATGACTTTCTTCCAGTCAAAAAGAAGACAAGTTGAAAATCCTGAAGGCTTTTGTTTTCTTAATACAGTACACTTTATCTTATTCTAGTGCAATACATAGTATAAATGACATTCATACAATTCATACAAGGGCGAATGAGGGATTTTTCAGCTTTATTTCATTCCAAAATTGGATACTGTTTAAGTCTGAAGTGCTTACTGTATAACATTTCCTGATTCACTTTTCTGTGAAATTATGGTGGAAGATACATACTGTACGCAGCTACACCACTTAATAGAGAATATTAATATGGAATAATGTAACTAAAGGGAAATTTTGGTAGCAAAAAAGTATGATAACGTATCTGGATGTCATTAACAATATCCATTTCAGAATAACATTGAAGAATAATATAGTGTACGTTCAAAGCAGGTGGTGGTAGCTAAAAATAAAAAATAACGTACACAACAATATTCCACCTTCTTCAAAAACTTTTCCTGCATCAACATCTTTAACTCAGTCACTTGATGTAGTTATTCTGGGAAGGTGTTGATGTGCTCCTTTAACTACAAGGAATATGAAGCTGACGTGCATTATTCAAGCTTTCTTTTGTTTTGAAAAGAACGTTTAAATTAAAAAACAGACGCATAATTCATTGAAATTCTTATCTACAGTACAGTATATGTTGACTCATTGGTGTCAGTGGGACACCTCATAGCTCCACTACCTTTAATGAGAAACCAAAGCTTGAAGCATTCAGATTCGCAGAAATGCACCAACCTTTTAATTCATTTTTCTTAAAATGAGGAATATGTTTTGTTGTTTTGTACAATTGACATGCAAAGATGACCAATTATTTTGAATTATTCAAGATGAGGCTTAAAAAGGTTTTTGAACAATGTTAAATCGTGGTTTATACTAACCGTTGTTTCATTTAATTTTTGGATATACATTTTATTCAAACAAAAGAAAGTAACAAACCAGTGCACTTTTCCAAGAAACCATAAGACCTTCCATTTTCAAGTGATCTATCATCAAGGTACTGTACAATTTCTATGAAACAATGTGGCCTAAACCTGCTAGATTTAGCTGTGACTTATAAAGTAAATTAGGGCTAAAATTGTCCAAATGGTCTATTGAGGTTGTAATAATTCTTAGCTTTTCATTAGTGTTACCTAAAAACACAAGTTTCACCTTCTTCATTTACTACGGAAACAGTACAATGGGTGGAATATCTATATCAGAGAAAAAAGAGTTCTGAGAAGATATCGCATGCCAGATGCTCTCTGACCCTGCCTCAAGGGACTTTGTCATGTATTCTTATTTCTCTCTCCTTATTCCACAAACAACCACTGAGCAATTTTTTCAAGACAGCTGCTCTAGTTTTAGCCCTTGTCCAAGCCTTGGACTTAGACCTTCCAAATATTTCAAAGTTTCCATATATTTTAATGCTGACAAATACAAATATAGAAAAAATCTGAGACACCAAGCCCAACACAGATCTTCCGTGTTCAACACACACACAAACTTTGTACCAGATTTCAAGAGCCAGTAATGCAACCACGTATGGTTTAGGTGTGAAAAAAAAAACATGTATATCATGTTTCAGAGGACATTTCCTGCTTTAAAAAAGTTACAAAATGCAAGTGGTTCTGAGAAGCAATTCAGTTGGCAAAATGTTTACTTGGAGCCAGTTTGTTCTTGATGTTTTGTATGTTTCAGCGATCTCTCTAGCAACAGGTGTGGCCGTTATTTGTTATTTGTTTCTGGTTTATCAGTTTTATTTGTGAATATGCATGTGTGACGTCCCCGAGTATTTATAGTAGTTCTGGTACAGAAGAAAGTGTGAAGAAAGAAGTGTGCTGATTTCTATTTTGCTCAGCAGGTTCTGGCTCTGAGATCGTTGGGGGTAGAGAAGTAAAGGCCCACTCCTCCCCTTGGATGGTGTCCATCCAGGTATCCGAGAAACATGTTTGTGGAGGCACACTGATTAAGAGCCAGTGGGTTCTGACAGCAGCACATTGTGAATTGTAAGTAAAAGGATTCTTTGCCATTACCTACTGAAGTCTGAACGTATGATGTTATGCCAGAAAGGAAGACAACCTACTTCTTTAGAGTTCTCTTTAAATTTCTACCTTTATTTAATCGATTCTGTTTCTAAAGTTGACACATTTAGGAGTAATTCATCTCAATAATCAAGCTTTTAAATGGTCAAAAGCAAACAGGTGTTTGCATACCCTGTACGTACCAAGTTAGGCTTTGACTTAACCTGACCCTCTAAAGGAGAGTAAAAGAAGGATGGAAAATATAAATACATTTAATGTTAATTATATTCATTTTATTTGCCTCTGAAGTAACTCTTATAACTGCTATCAGTTTATGGCCAATCCTGGTTCTGGAGAGTTACCATTAAATCACCAATTTGGAAAAAGTGAGTTTTGATCAACGTAAAAATAAATCAGTTCAATAAAGCCAAGAACAACCAAATTAGGTTGTTGAGAGGTACTATGTGTCAGGTCTTTCATTTCAAAGGATAGCTAAACCACTTAATTTCATCTATCTCCAGCTTACAGTACAGTATGTGATTAAAATTGAATTGTTCCAAGTGTTTAGAAATTGAAAAATTAAGGGTGACCTGTAATACCTACTGGACTGGAGTGGGGCTCTTCAAGACAGCGTTTGTATTAACTCTTTGTTCTATACTCCCTCTGTGTGTGTTTTTATCAGGAAGGCTTCTTTTTACTGTTTACTATTATGCCACTAATAGTGAATACAAATTTTAGAAAGTCAGTAATGATTCAGGGGATATATGGAAATGTGAATGATTGTAGTTTTTCTTTAATTTTATACAGTGCATTTTTAACATACTTTATTTCAGTATTATTCTCAGGAAATCAGGATTTTATTAAAGAAAATAGGTGCTTATACTTTATTTCTATGAAATATTTCCAGTAGATATTGTTAAAGTACTTTACTTAAACTATTATATTCAGAGAACATAGAGAACATTGCATGTAAAAGGGTGTATCTAAAAGGTCAGGTGCGAAATGGAGTCTCTTTGCATAAGAATTTGAAAAAAATAAAACATATTTTACAATAAAGATTTTTCATATTTTAACTACATATTTTAAGTAAAAACTGTTTCTCACTGCATTACAAGTGATGTAAAATTCATACGTTGCCATTGAAAAACACTGCATATGGAAGTTTTTAGACATAACCACATTACAACATC